TGGCTCCTATTTTACCTGTATGCTGAAGACTGTTTTAACCACTGTAAACTTCGATGTGCTCAAACATTCATCTGTGTATTCTGAAGAGTTGTGTCTGTTCTTACAGCACTCAAGATTTACTGTTTGAAGTAGACATTTATAGGATTACTCTGAGGTTAATTTTTTAAAAACTTTTTGGATGCCTTCCTATTACTGCATTATGCCCATTTTTAAGGTTTGCATTTTTAAGAATACAGTAACTTCTGTTTATTTATTACCTTAAAGTATTCCTTTATCCTGTCTGTGCATACATAAATCCCCTTAAATCCGTGGCATCCCCTTTCTTACTCTTACTGGAGATATTTTTAGATACATTTCTAAAACATGTTCTTGATGCATATCATGCATGTAGAGGTTGTATTCTGTGCTTTCAATGACTTTCAGTATTTTCAAGAAAGAGACCTGAATCAAAGTGAAACTTTTTATTTAGTTTGTTTCTTTTGAAACTAGCTGAGTATTAGTGTTAGAATACATGGGACACTTGAGTCATTCTCACTGTCTCTGGACAGTGCTGTAAGGATGGCTTATTTATTTGAAAGCGCTGTTTCCTTTCAGAGAGACTTAATGGCTTTTTCACTGTCTTCCAGGTTCTCATATTAACTAATATCATGCTGGGTATTTATCTCTTTGGATCCTAATTATTTTCTATTATCCTCAACATGGAATGGAATTCAATTAAATGATCATTTTGGAACGCAGAGAGACAATTACATTTGAAGTAATTATTTTGGATCATGTTGGAGACACCACCCATCCTTAAAACAAAACAAACAAACAAACAAAAAACAAATAGAAATGAACACTCTTGGAGGAAGTCTTTGACATATATGAAACTATGCTCTTCATTCAATATATTGCCCCATTTCCGTAAGTTACAAAGTTGTACGTGTTGTAGTATATGTGACACAGTTTGGTCGCAGAGTTTTACCAGTCCCAGTGTTCTTATTCCCAGAACACGTTCTGTGAGAACAGATTAGTTAAGAATGCTAGATCTCCATCCTCTTCCCTTCCCCCAAAAAAAGTCTCATCTTCCTTGGAGAAGTGAAACATAGAAAAAAAAAAAGTTTATTTTAATAAAATACACGTGTTCCTTTAACGTATATATATTTAATGAAGACTAACATCACTGGTTCTGGGTAAGTGCACAAGTCAGGACTTGATTAGTCCTTACTTGGTAAAATGAACCTAAATAGTGTTATATAAATGCTGGTGCACTGTGTATAGCCATCTTTTTTAATGCTCCCAATGTTTTTAGTGGTTGAATCTCAGCTGTTCAGCTCTGGTTTTAGTACAACACTTCATCTTACATTTGGATATGCTTGGTTTTGCATCACGCATAATAAAGTTTTGATTGCTTTAGAATAATTTTATACAAGTTTGCCTTCTTTATTTTTACTTCAGCAGAACCATAAGATAGTCTGAAATGCAGACTTCTGTATTGTGTGGCAGCATTCTGTACATTCATGGAGAACGCTGTGCTGCTCCATGGACTACCCTGAATTGTATTCTCTGTCTTTTTTTCCAAACTTCTACTGCCTTTTGGGAATTACCTTTTCCTACTTCCATTGATTTGGTGTGGTCAACAAGATTCTAATTTTCTTGATGTAGGTAGTCAGTGAAAGTCTGAATTGCAGTTTAAGAACAAACTGCTACTGTTGAGAAAAAGTTAAAACTTTGCCTGATAAGTAAAGTTTTCAGCACAATGAGAGACCTGTGGAAAAGTATCAAGCTGATCATCTTTGCCTTACTTTTTCTTCTTCTTAGTTAGTATTTCTTTATTTTTAAAATGGTTGTTATATGCCATGATTGACAAGGAAATAAATTTTCCATGTAAATCGAAGTTGAAGATTAGAAATTGCAGTAACTCTGCATTTAAGATTGATAGTGGGCTTTGTTATTTGTGAATTTCCTTTTTTTTTAAGATTGAAAAAAATTGAATTCTACCTCTGAGAGTGGACTGCTTTTTTGAAGAAACTTAAGAACAGAGGGGAAAAGAAAAAGTAATTATCCACTAATGTTAGGTGTTTAGTTTGATCTTTAGGACTTCTTATGGGAGGGAGTTGTTGTCAGTCAGAGATGCTGGTGAAAGGAGGATGTGTTAGAAGTTCAGTACCTGACATGGTTTCGCTCCACGACTATAGAGAAAGCTCATTTGATCTAACAAAATCATGAGCTTTTGGAAAGTTGCAATCAGGATGAGTTACTTGTCCCATGGATTTTCTTTATTTGACCTCCTTAGTAATATCTACTGATTCAATAAAATGCAAATTCCTTAAAGCAAATGGAGATCTTCTTTAATTTCACTTTTTCTAGCAGCTGCAGGTCTTTTTGTGTTTCTGATTCATGACAGAAAAGAGTTTTGTAATGATCTAAAAGAAACCAAATACCAAGCTATAGCATATAAATGTAGAATATCTGATTATTTTTTGCACATCAGTGCTACTACCATAAAGCACTTAGATTTTATTGCCTGGGTTACAAGGTCGCTTGGGAACCGCTGCATCTGTGACTAGATATAAGTGTGTTTGTTTAAAGTAAGCATTGAGGTCTTCCTTTCTTAAAATAATGTCTGTTCCCTTTAATTTCTGAAAAATGAGCTCTGTAATCTTGAGTCTTATGGATTGTGTAAGCTCCTGTCATTTGGAGCTTGATACTCAGGAAAATTACTCCTGCATATACTGTATATACTTTGCTTTTCATACTTCCACAAGCCAGAGAGAAATGTCTGAGAAGTTCTAAATTCTTGTGCACTTTATTATTCCTTATTTGTCAGAAAATTTGGGGTTTTTTTCCCACTTGTCGTAGTTTAACCTCAGCTGGCAACTAAGTACGACCTACACATTCACTCGCTTCCCCACTCCTCCCTCCCCCAGTGGGATGGGGAAGAGAAAAATGTAAAACCTGTGGGTTGAGATAAGAACAGTTTAATAACTGAAACACCTTCCACTTTCACAGTTCATTGGGAACCTGAGCTGTGCTCTGGTTCTGGTAGCAGTCATTACTTGATCTGTCTTTAAATTTAAAATTCAGTCTGGAATCTGACTTGTTTCTGCTGATGACTGGTTTGTATTAGCTAGATGCCTGAATGATAACTTGAGTTATGTGTCTCCAGCTTGTGGCAGGATGAAAACAAAACAGAATGGTTGTTTGCAGAGACCTAAGAGATCTCCTTTGCAGAATGTTTATTCAGCTTTTCATTTCAGGTGCCATGTGAAGTGTACTGTGATAATGTATAGGGAAATTGAAGCTTACATGTAAAGCATACTCTTTTGACAAGTCTCCACATAGTCTGGGACTGAACTCCTCCTTAATCTCGAGATATTTTTACCAAGTTGCTGAGAGTGAAAACAAGATTAATCAATAACATGTAGTTTGGTGCTTGATACTCAGGGCAATACTACCTTTATAATTTTTCTTCTGTAAGAAATCAAAGGCAAATACAGGAGATACAAAACAGACATTTAAATGAATGTTTACAATGTCAATTAAGTGACAATAAAGACAAGAGAATGCTTACCTGTAAATCTCTTAGAACATGAGTAAATTCTCCTTTTTCTCTTAAAAATCTAAAATTGTGTCGATAATCCAAGTGGAAGGTCTTCTGGGGTGAAGGGGAAAATCCCTTAAGTCACTATATGGAAATGCCTTGATAAACAACTGGATTGTACAAAGTAATTTGCTAACCTCAAGTTCATTAGTTGTCACCCTTCTTTGCAAAGGTCTTTGTAGCAAACAGACTGGAAGAATTAATCTTAATAAAGGAAATTCTGCCATAATTGTTTTATACTAGAATGCTCTGTGAAGGGGCACATGAATGTACATAACCTTATTTGACTACGTCTGAATGTACAAAGATCATGATGACATTCAAGACTTCGGTAGTAATAGGATGGCTGGCATGGGTAGCTCTTTCTTGCACTGTGGGAGGTGTGCTCAGAATTGAATTTGTAAAGTTTTGTTCCCTTAGTAGCCTACAGTTTGCAGTAGCTGACTGCAGGCTAGTACCATTGCCTTTAGCCAGTGCATTTCTGATGATACGCTAGGGTCTCTATCGAGTTCTTTCCTTTTTAGTTCTAATGTCCACTCCCACACAGACACCCCCACACTGGAAAGTCTTCAGAATGCTATATCAAAAAATTCTTCATTTCTCTCTTTAATCAAGTACAAAAATGGCTTAATAAGGACTACACTGTTTATGAATTAGCAAACCCAGAACAGGATTGGCAGCAGTCCATCAAATCAGTAACTCGTAATATAAAAGCCTTTTTAATATTTTCATTACAATTATGGAATTAAAATGTAATATCCTTGGATGTATATAAACCTGTGCCAGGGGAAGGCTAGTTAAGATCAGTAACATGTATATTATTGGTTATCCGTCACAGAAAACAGAAATTATCATGTCAGTCTGAATTTACTAAAATGGAAAGACTTCCAGGAAGAACAAGACTGCATGATGAGGAAATCCATACCAGTCTTTACTTCCAATATTTGAAAAGGATTTTCAGTATTTCTTGGCTTAATGATTATAGCATTTTATTCAAATGAGTTTTATCTTACCCTGGCAAAGCCGCCTGGTTTGTAACATTGTATTTTCTTGAGTTTTCTTCTACTCAGCTTCTGCAGCGTGACTGTCTTAAGGGTTGTAAACATTAAATATAAAGACTGATATGATACTTCATTTGGCATTTCCCATGTTATAATCTTTACTTTGTTTTTTGGGTTTTTTTTATATTAACTGAATGTTCATCCTGTCCTTAAAATCTGGACAACAGGAACCTCCTATTTATAATACTGTGTCTTGAAATTGAATATTTTGTTAATATTCATGTTCTTTTTCATCACACCAAAATACTTGAAGTACAGAACAATAGTGATACATTGTATGAATACAAAAGGTTGTTAATGAGAATGGTGCGGTTCCCAGTTTGATGCAGTTTGTTTTTTGTGTTATGTTGTAGGTCTGTCAAATGGCTTTGGAGATGAAAGTAAAGAGAGAGCATTAGATGATACTCCAGGAAGAAAAGTTGAACCTCGTCGCCGCTGTGCATCAGAATCTAGTATTTCATCTAGTAACAGTCTCTTGTGTAACTCAAGGTAAAATAAATAAATCTGAAATACAAATTTGAGACTGAATATATCAGTTTTCTATATTGCTTGTGACCCATATTGGAATGCATGGAGTGAATTGCATACATTTTCTCAGTTGTGTCAGGTCTGAGACACCTTTCAGTATTGCTGGTATTCTTTTGTTTAATTCATGTTTTTGTTCAGATTCTATGATTTCTTAAAGAAAATTCAAGTATGCAGAGAACAAATTTACCATTTTGTGTATAGACATTTCACAATTGAAAACACTTGAATTTGTAGTGAAATATTAAAGAGAGAACAGTTGTGTTTCCTATGTAGCAGAACTGTTGGAGCAGTGGAAACGTTTTCATTTGTCCGTATCCACTGTAACACTGGAAGATAGAGCAGCTTCTGTCATTTGTGCATGTCTCTGAACCTGTACAGCAGTTGAGGTGCAGTTGCATCCTGTTTGTCCTTTGCTGATAACCAGGCAATTCTGTGAGTGAAAATAATCAGCACTTTGGCTTTTACATTGTTGTTTGTATTTGTTACATAACATAGAACTTGCTGCTCTGATTTTATTCTGTACTGATGAAATTTAAATTTTTCCTCAGAGTTTCAATTCATAGTGTACAATGCTAATTATCAAGTAATGGGTTTAATATTAATACTTTTGTAGTTTCAGCCTACCGAAGTGTGGTAAAGGTAAACCTGCCTTGATACGGAGACACACACTGGAAGACCGAAGTGAATTGATATCATGCATTGAAAATGGAAACTATGCCAAAGCAGCAAGAATTGCAGCTGGTAACTATAAATAATTGTATTCTTAATAGTGTTGTATAACTATGATTTGGTCCATTTATTTGACAGATTTTAGCATTCTTATTTTCACTACTTAAATACATTAGGCATTCTGAAAGTGGTGTTGATACCACTTCAGAAACTGTGTATACACCTGAGAAGTCTGGCTGCATGCATCCTCTCAGATTGTGTATGACCTACTCAGCATTAAAATACCATTTTCTTTGCAACTGAGAATAATGTAGGTTTCTTTCTTGTTAGCTGCCCTGAAGAAGAGAACTTGTACTGGTTTTATGTACCAGATACAGTTCTACATATATATTTTTCAAAATAGTCTGTGAGTTTTTGGATGCATTGATCTATACCCCCATGGCCTTTTCTAATTAGCATGTGAATACTTTACAAACTGCTACTGACAGAGCAGAGATGTAGCAACTTATTGCAGAGAACAGTTGAACAATTATTTTTTTATGTGATGGCTTTAAACTCTTTTTTTCTTGCTCTTACAAAGTCTTAAATCACTCTTTCCTCCATTTCTTTTTTGTAATGTTGAGATAGAACATGTATCTGCTTGCCATCTTTAATTATAAATAAGCAATGCCCATTTTAAATGAGAGCAGACTGAGAAGAATTGAAGAGTAAATTATGTTTTGGCAAGTAAAGAGCTACTTCTGTCAAGTATTGCCTTACTGCTAAGAGAAAGTGCAACTGCAACCTCTGAACTATATTTCCCCATACAAGAAGTGCCACTTCATCTTTACAGCATACGAGCTTTGATAACCTTCTCCCCTTTGATGACTGTCCATCTCCAGTTCCATCTTGAGGATACAACTCACTGGCTTCTACCCACTCTCTTGATTGTATCCAGTTGTGGTTTTGGTCAGCTCAGGGCTTAAAGCTCTCTCAGGCTTCAATCCAGTGGTGAGCAACAGAGAAGAAAATGGAGGATTCTGGTAGAAGTGTGCAGTAACATAAACTCAGTTGTCTGTTATGCTGCTCCATGAGAAGAAACAAACCACTAGTGCAGCTACTTCCTGGAACCCTGTTGATCTTTTTGAACTTTGCTGTAGGAAAGGGCAGGACAGAGAGACCAAGAGGGCTTGTTAGAAATAAATAGAAATTAAAATGCAGGTTAGAACTTAGGCATAAGAACAGATAGGTTTACCAGACAAGCCTTGTAAGTTATCAGGTGCTGATTTTCCTATGGATATCCAGTATTTCAGAAACAAACCATGAAACTTGCATCTTCAAAGTCATTACCTCTGACAGGATTATCATCATAGTTTTAAAAGAAACTGGTTATTTGGAGTACCATAATTTTATGTTTTCTTTTGAGCTTTTTCAAAGGGAAAGGACTATTAGAATTTGACAAATGCTTCCTGAGAGCTAGGATGTTTTAAGATATACTGTTTCTAGAAGTGTATAAACCATTGTTCTTTGTCTGTAGACTTGCATTAAAGTACTGTTATCATGTAAAGAGCTGTTATGGACACTGCCTGCTTTTTATTGGTATGTGTGTGAAAGGTAATATTGGTATTTGGATTCTAATGATCATGAACTATTTGAGGAAACCAAGAACTGCTGAAGATTAATCTAAAGTTTCATCCTGGAACATTTTAATTTTACATTTATTTGTTCTTAGAAGTTGGGCATAGCAGTATGTGGATTTCAACTGATGCTGCAACATCTGTTCTTGAGCCTCTAAAAGTAGTATGGGCCAAATGCAGTGGATATCCCTCTTACCCAGCTCTGGTAAGTACGCTATTGATACTGTTTCTGGTCTGAAAACACAGTGCATGAATTTAAGGTAATTGGTAATTTCCCGTTCAGGTTGACTGAATGTGGCTTATTCTGCCTACTTTATCATGCTTTGAGTTTGTAAAGTTCTTGCAATACCAGATTTTAAGTCAATAATCTCTGCTACACTGCCCATCCTTGGAGATGTGCAATACTTGTGTGTCGTGGTTTAACCCCAGCTGCCAGCTCGACCCCACGCTGAACAGTGAGTTCCCCCCACCTCGTTCACTTCCCTGGTGGGAGGGGGAACAGAGTTGGAAGAGTGAAAGTGAGAAAGCTCATGGGTTGAGATAAAGACACTTCAATAGGTAAAGCAAAAGCCATACACCCAAGCAAAGCAAAACAAGGAATACATTCACCACTTCCCATGGGCAGGCAAGTGTTCAGCCATCCCCAGGAAAGCAGAGGCCCATCACATGTAAGGGTTACTTGGGAAGACAAACACCATCACTCTTGAATGTTCCTTCCTTCCTTTTTCTCTTTATATACTGAGTGTGATGCCGTATGGAATGGAATATCCTTTGGCTCATTTGGTCTCAGCTGTCGTGGCTGTGTCCCGTCTCAACTCTTTGTGCACCCTCAGCCTCCTCACAGGTGGAGTGGTGTGAGAAGCAGAAGAGGCCTTAGCTCTGTGTAAGCACTGCTCAGCAATAACAAAACCATCTCTGTGTTATCAACCCCGTGTTCAGCACAAATCCAAAAGATAGCCCCATGCTACCTCCTGTGAGGAAAATTACCTCTATCCCAGTTTAAACCAGTGCACCTCTCTCAGTAGTCTTTTTTCTGCATTATATATTATTATTAAAGGATCAATTGAATAAGCATTCGACAGACATCTTGTCAGTGCTGGAATTATAAGATATTTTCTGCTGCAAAATGAGTATAAAAATACTCTTGATTCTGCAGTTCAATAAAGAAACAAAACACTTGGTAGAGTTGGAATAAATTGACTGACTGAAGCCAGTTGTGAATGATGTACTGGAAATGTAAAGCTGTTGTGCTCAAGTTATTACAGGAGAAATAGACACAGCTCTAGTTACATTAAAGCTTGCAGAGAAAATGTTAAGTGCTTGGCTTCAGGCATTTGGGGTTATAGAAATAGTTCATACACTTTGACTTGATTTATACAGTAGGCTGGAGAGTCATGACTGTTGTAGTATGTGTGTGCTGAGGACATCAGGAAGTGTACAGAGTCAGGTCTGGAGGTGACATTCAGAGCATTTTGAGTTGAAGTGCCCTCAGTGCGTGACTCAAACACTCTTGGGTCAGATGCTAAAAATTTGATGATTTGATTGTCTCTTGAATGGTGTTAGCACTAAATTTAAGCTGATTAAGACCACAGGGCTCCTTTTCTGCCCACTCCTTTTTGTAGGCACTGGTGTTTCTGAGAGTAGGATGAGTTCATTGAGGAATTAAACCTCAGTCAAGAGAAGAAAGTTCTGATTTCTGTGAACTCCCCACAGTGTTAGCTTTCTCTTCATTTAGTTCCTGTAATCAGTTTACTATGGATTACGATTTGTGCCTGTGTGGGGTTTGTAGAGTAGGAGATGGGTGGAATAGGCATGGAGTAACATAACCCTTTGTGGTGGAAGCTGAGCACTTCATATTGCTAGGATCTACCTACAGAGGAGTTTTTCCATCAGCATGATTAGTTTAATGTTAGCAGCATATTCCCTTCTCCCTCAACCTTTGTTTAGAAAGAATTTGACTACAATTGCATGTTCTGCTGAAGACTCGAGTCATTAAATTCATTCTGAAATCTGCTTGTCAGTCTCAAAGTTGTATTAAGTGAAATTCAGATGGAACTTCAAGAAGACCTGATATGGGTAGTGTTCTCAGTTAAATATACCATTATGCCTCCAATATGCCTATTCAGCTTATGCCAAAAAATTGTGTGTAACACAAAGTCAGTGCACTGGTTGTTTAGTTTATGATTCTTTTCTCATTAACTTTATTTGTATTATCTTCTTAAAATAGATTATGTATTTGTAAAGATTATGAACTGTCCTTTCTTCTCTCTTACAGATTATTGACCCTAAGATGCCTCGTGTTGCTGGCCATCACAATGGTGTTACTATACCAGTGCCACCTCTGGATGTACTGAAAATTGGAGAACAAATGCAGACCAAATCAGATGAAAAACTATTCTTAGTACTATTTTTTGACAATAAAAGAAGTTGGTATGTTATTGAAATGCATTGTTTAATGCAGTGGCTTAAAGTTTTAAGAACTTGTACCTTTAGTATAGAAGAAAATTGAAACATTGTCTTTCCATGGAAATCATTCCTATGGAAGTATAAACTAATGTTTCATATTTGAGTCTATTTTTGGACCAAGGTATATCATCACTATAAGATATATTTTTATGGTCAGTTTGGAAGAAAATAATATAAGTCAATAAATAGTATTTTGTTTTTTATTTACAAGCTAGTTTTATTTTTTGACCTGATAAATTGCTTCTTTGGCTAAACAGATTTTTTAAAGGTAATAGTCTAACATTTATCTGTATCTTCCTACATCATTGCTTTCCGAATTACAAGACTTTTTCCACCCAATTTGCTTAAGTATATTTTTTTTATTATTTTTAACCTCTGTTTAGTTAAATGCTTTATTAAACACTTTCATTTGAAGTTCTTAGCCCTTTCTAAATTTTTTCAGGAAACCTTCCCTTTTTCCATTTATTTCAGTATCAGCAATATGCTGTGTGGAGCCTGAAGTGGGGTAATTCACACAATAAAACATTCTCTTTGCCTTCTGGGTGGTCTTTGGTTTTGGTGGGTTGTTTTTTCTTGGAGCAGGAGTAGGGGGAAGGCAAATAGGTTTTTTGGTGTATTTTAATTCGTTAGGATTGTTTGGGGGTTTTTTTGGGTTTTTTTGCTAGACATGGAAGCTTCTCATCTACCTTTCATCAAACTATATATTTCTTTTCTGTGTTCTTCATAATCTATCTCCTCTCCAGGTTTCCATACAGGTCAAGCTAGCTGTAAATCTTTTTGTATCTCAGATTTTCTCTTGAATATCCTTACTTTCAGATACCACTTTCGTCTTTCACTGATTATATGTAATGTCTAGTGATGCTGCCATTCTCCTGGCTCTCTCTGTGCCAGTACACCTAAATAACTTCTTGCCTAAAATTTGTAACTGATGTTTGCGCTTCTGTCCTCTTAGATCCTTTGGCATAATCTCTCTGTTCTTCAGTTATTTTCTTAACTAATTGGTACTTCTTCATGATTATAATTGTTCAGTTGCACAGGATTCCATGACATCTTGCATTCTTCTGCCTTTTTTTTATAGAGAACATCTACATTTAAATATACTCATAGTGTCACAATTGTAATGCATGTTCTTCCTAGCCACTTTCTTAATCATTACTGTCATTGCTTCTTGACCTGGGGAGTCCTCTGTAGCTTAAACCTTTCTGATTCATCGCCATATGCAGATCATCCTAAATCTTGCAGATATTGCACAAAGTTGTCTCTAATGGATACTCTGTATAGATGGACAGAAAAAGGCTCAATTCGTTTCCCAATCCCTTTCCTCTCATCCCCTCCACCCTCACCCCACCAACATTTCTGGCAATGGTTCTTTTAGGCTGATTATTTTGGCACTCATAACTCTAATTATGTTGTGTCTCTTAGTCTTGAATCCCTGCCTGTGATTTTCATTCATTTGCAGGGTGTATGTCACCTTCAGTCTGTGATGCAAGTGTCTATAACCTATGGATTTTCAAATAGTCATATTTGTTTCTTCTTCTTCACTGCTTATGTCCGGAGGACATGGCAAGCTTTCTGTTAAAAATACCTTCTTAAAACTTCCCCTGATCTGTATTAAAACTGATAATGCTGATAATAAGACTGCTGCTTTTGATGCTGTTATCAGACTGTTCTGTGTCCTTGTTCTGACTCTTCACATTTTGTTTCAGTGTCTGTGCTCAGTACAATAGGGCTGTAGTTTAGAGTGCTTTAAGAAAAAAAAATATTTCAATAGCCAATTTTACTCTTTAAAAGAAAATTTTAGAATAAAGTGGTTTATATCAGACTTGACTGATTTCCAGTTGGTTCGGCTCCACATGATTTTGCAAAGTGATGATTTTAAACAGAAGGAGGGCTTTACCATTTGTAGGACTGGGGTTGCAGACTACAGTGACATACTTTAATAGATATTCATTAACTTACCTAATTTTTATTTTCTTTAATGTCTATAACTTAGGAAAGTGGGATTACGATAAATATTTATGACATGGAGTAAATTTAATTTATATTTTTTAAGTAAATATTTAGAGTATTTTTCCCTTAACTAGAAGAACAACAGAATGCAGAGCTTTTTCCATTATCATTCCTCTGTGCCAAAAGTTTGAAGTTATTTATGGAGCTTAAAGCAGAAAAGTACCCTCAATATGGAGTTAGTGGGATTTCATATTGCAGGGTAAAAGCATGCTAAGCATGCTTCCCCATAAAGCATCCTTTATGCTTCCCCATGAAAACCAAATTGAAATGTCTTAATTGTAAAGCAAAAAATCATCATCTGAAAATTCCTTGTAATAATGAAGATGAAAGAATGAGGAGAAACAATACTGTGTCAGATGAATCTTGAGCTGTGTCCATTGTTAGTTGCTGCTGCCTATTCTTAACCTGCATCAGTATTTCAGGCTTATTTTTTTCAGCTGATACTTAATCATTAAATACATACCATTGAATTGGAATGTATTCTCTGTGGAAGAGACTTTCTTAATATTTCATGTTCTTTAAATATTTAATGCAAGTAAGCACTATCTTAAAAGGTATTTTATCATTTTGTTTAAGACAGTAAAACTGATCTTCTGTGTGAGCAACATGGAATAGTAGCTCTGACATTTCTGGACAAACTTCTTGATTTTATTCTGTGTGTAACATTTATTTTACCCTTTCTTACAGGCAGTGGCTTCCCAAATCCAAAATGGTTCCCCTTGGGATAGATGAGACCATAGACAAGTTAAAAATGATGGAAGGACGTAACTCAAGCATACGAAAAGCAGTAAGAATTGCTTTTGATCGTGCTATGAATCACCTGAGTAGAGTCCATGGAGAACCAGTCAGTGACTTCAGTGATATTGACTAGCAGAGATTCTAGCAGGGCATGAAAAATACCACACAGACTTGAACTCTACTAATGAACCTCTTTGTCTAAAAGAATGTATTGAAGATACAACCCCTTAATTGTTGATTCAGTGGCTGAGTTCTGCAAACTTGAAATAGCTGAGCATTTCTTCTAAATCACCATTGCCATATTGATTAATTATTTTATTGTGTTGTAGATCGGAGGATTTTCCACTAAACCTGTTAAAATGTCTTGTTCATAGTGTTCATAATTGTACATAAATGTATATTCAACACTTAACTTATTCTGATTTTAGAAGTAGCTCTTTTAATTCCTTTTATAATTTTGCTGGGGAGGGAGTTGGTTTCTGTTTCCATGCTTTTTACTTTTTTTTTCTTTCTTTCTGAGGTTAAGTTGCCTAAGCACCATCTTCCAGCTTAAGGTGTTTAGTGGATCTTAAAGCCTAATATCAAAATGGCGTCAAATATATGTTTGCCTAAATCATATACAGTATGGTGCTGCTTGTATCATTTCTTCCTTGGTCTGTAGCTTCTGAAAAAGACTTCTGAATGTTTGTGTAAATTGTTGCTCTTTGCACAAAGTACCACATATTTAAGATTGATGTAAATTTACAATTACAAATATGTATTTTAAGAAAGGAAGTTGCATTATTTTGGAGGGTACTTTGTGAGAAAGACATCAATAAAAATTATACTATGTACATCACTTGCAAATCACCAAAAACACTCCATTGTTGCCCAAAATAACTTAAGATTGTTTTTGTTTTAAACAAACCTGGCTTAAAGCCTGCAAGCACATTATTGCTTTCAAAACCATATCCCATTTATCTCCCATTGATTTAATTTTGTTGATATGTGTGCCTCCCTGTGTTTATTTATTGTAGAAAATGTATTAATTTGCTTTATAATGAAAAATAAAATTGACAAATATATTGATATGCATTTTTATACAGGCACATGAGAAGACAACTTGCTTTGGGAGAAAAATGTATTGGAAATTGTAAAAAATAACTTGATGGTTTGTGTGTAATTTGGTTTTTTGGTAACTTGTAATCCTTTTGTTTCCAATGAGGGGATTTATGTAACTTTTAATTTAGAACACTTTGGTAGCAATAGAAACTTTGGATACATTTTTGTATGGTACATGTGATGTATATAGAATTAGTACTTTATTTTTATTTTTAAGAAGTAAAGCATTATGTTTGGGCAGGGGGAAGAAGGAGGGTGGGTTTCCAGAACTGCATTTTTATATTAAAAAGAAAAAAAAATAAAGTCAAGATATTGATTGTTGTAGCTACTTTATTCCTACCTTCACTGAGATACTGAATTTGTAACAATGAAAATGGCAAGGTATGTTTGCAATGTGATTTATAATGGCTCCATTATTTATAAATGCACTGTGTTTGAACTCTTTTGCAGTGATATCGTAAATACTGTACCAAGTTATATGATATGAAACACCAAATAATGCATATGAATGCACGAAGTATTTATGCCCAGCTTTTTTATAAAGGATTAGCAAATACAGCAAAACCAATACTTTTTAAATCTTTTTTTTAAAACTTCATTGAATAGCTTACTTCATTGTTAAACCTGCTTGAATCTTTATTTTAAAGGGACAATTACTTTTTAAATAGTTTTTAATGTTTTTATTCTCTATTGTTTGTAATACCCCCGTAGAAGCTTGAAATAAAATTTCTTTCTCAACTGTAAATTTTGTCCTGAATTTAGCCCCTGAGATTTTGCTGTAGTACCCGTTTTCTTACTCCATAGCTATTACAGATGCACTAGGTCAAGAAGCTGATTGTTCTGTTGTGGCAGTATCGTCCATACTGAGCTCTTTGCATGGTAGATGTTGCAGTTAACTGAGACCAGTTGCCTATGATGGACTCTGGTAATTAGAGATGAGTTGGATGAATTTCATAAATGATCAAGCAAATAGTTTTCTCAGTCTTGACAGGAAGCACGGCTTTAGGGAGAACAGTGATGGCAGGTATCATGGAAGGGCCGTCATTGAGCTGCACTGCTCTGGTAGCCACAACAACCACATCAGGTAGAAAAATAAAATGAAGATTTGGTTGTTTGCCTTAAATGGGAACTTCTGTGTAATGACTTAAAGGACCTACCATACAACCATGCTTTTTAAAGGGGTAGGAGCTTAATTTGGGCCATACTGAGGCAGTAGATATGTTTGTCATCTGTTAAGACTGCCTGTTAAGGTCTTCAAACAAAATGCCCTGCACCAGATTTTATTTCAAGCTGGTTCCACGTAATATACTCGAATTTTAGTGTGTGTAAAACTGGGTAATGATTCACAGCCTCATTTTGGCACACAGAAATGGATTTTTTCTGTCTTAGAGCTTGGAAAGCTGAAATTACATTACAACAGAAATTGAAAGATGATCATTTAGTACTTGTATAATAAGTGTTGAAATCTGTAAAATACAAAGTCACAGTACAAAAGAAGTATACATACAGTTGCAAAATTATTCCTTCAAAGGCTTCCTGCATTCTCAGTTTCTTGTGATACTGCTAACTTTGGCAGGGGGGAAGCTCCTGTTTTGTATAAACAGAGCATTAATTTAATTATTTTGGAACAATTTTTTTTAATCACATCTTCAGTGAAAGATTTAGTTTGAATTTTACCAGACTTTAAAGTTTCATGTTACATCTCTTCAGAGACAGATCCATCAGTTCTTGGAGAAGGAAAATGTGCTACCTTTATCTTACAGGCATCTGTACGCATTTTCAGCTAGAAAACTTTACTGATTAAAAGAAACCTCTTAAACATCCTAACAAACATCTTTTGATGAAATTGGCATTAGAGGCGAGTTTATTTTTTGTTTGTATCTGATGGAAGCTGTCCCAGGAGTTCTTTGCAGATACTGTCTCAGAGAAGGTTGCGGTAGTGGCTGTGGCTGTTCTCATACTCTCTTGTGACACTGAGTATCATCCAGTGGCTCTTGAGATTGGGTTAAAATAATTTAAAGTAGTCTAAAATAACTTCTCAGACTTGTCTGTCTTCAGTGTGACTTGTTTGCTTTTAAAGGATTCCATACCTATTTAGGAAAAGTCTGAGCTCCAGAGCTGCTTTATTTCCAAATTCTAGGGCCTAATCAGATACAGTGGTGAGATGAATATGTGCATATAGAATGTGCATTTTAGACCAGGTTCTTCTATGACATTATTAATATCTATAACGTAGAGTGGAAATCAGTATTACCAGTATTCTAGTGGAGAGGAAAAAAAGAATACCACGTTCTATCTTCCCAGTTTCTTGGGGAACATTGCAGTAGTAGATACAGGGTGTAAGTTTGCACATTCACTACTGTGTTCTGGTATGATCATTTCCTGTTAATAGAACTGTGAGCATCAGCAGTTGAAACTATGTGTAAATGTCCTTTCTTGTATCAAAATGTGAGAAAGTATGTTATAAATATTTAGGGGGAAAATGTGGATAGAGAATAATGTTTTTTAAAAAAACTTTGTTACCAAGCTCAGTGATTTTCTGGGGGAATGTTTGTTGTGATTTTATATCTTTTACACTAGAGGGAGCAATGCACATAGACCATCAACACTCACAAAATAAATATTCAGTTTTTCCTTTTCAGAATGCTGCTATTAAAACTTACTGCTTGTAAACAGTCTTTTTTGCTTCTAGTATTTGTAATCCATCAAAAGTAGCTTTCTTGGTTCTTGCTGCAAGTGGGCTGGTTTGCAAATGCTTAATTTTAACTGCAGAGCAAGTACAAAGGACAGCTCTGGATTTTCTGGCTCTCGTGTCTAATTGCAACTGACACATGAGTAACTTTTTACACTTTTATATGTTGATTTTCTTTGCTCAGGTGCACTGCTATGGGTGCATTCTGTAGTGTTAGAAAACAACTCAGAGCTGCTCCTGGTAGGACACTGCAAGTGAAACACAGCAATTAACAAAAACACTCCAGTTTAGAAGTGAAGGTTCAACATGAGACAATTGCTCAGCAGCCTAAGGAGGGCAGGGTTGTCTGGAGGATATGTGCAAGGGAATTAAATTTATCTCAGACTTGTGATCATGTGGGTAAAGGTAGTTTTCTATGTAAGAAAAGCACTTCCTCACCCTCCTGTGTATCTGTAACACAAATACAGAAGGGAAATGTAAATGGAGGAAGGATTTACTGCTTAACACCTTTTGGTTAGCTTGTTTCCATTTTTGTATAACATTAAGTTGTTACAACTTACCTATTTTATCAGTTCTTGAAAGATTAATTTCTTCTAAAACTTCTAAGGTAGGAAAAGTAAATTCAAGCTAATGAAAGTTTGAAAAATATTACTCTGTAATAGCATGAAATTGATAAACTTTTTGAACTTTTAGGAGTGGATATTTGGGATGGGAAGGGGCTGTTAACTGATTTTTTTACCTTCTACTTATTCATCTTGCTTTTATTGTCTGTGAACAGAAACTTTTGTCAAATCTCTTCCAGTCAGGAAGGAAAATACAAGATCTCAGCACTGTACTTAAAGTTATTCAAGATCTTTTTCAGGTTTTTCCATAGTGTTAAAAAACTAACTGCAGTGATTGCTGTCACCCCATCCTATTTTCTGCTTATACTACATGGACAGAGGGGACAGAATAAGGATTTTTAAAAAAAAAAATAAAATAGTCTTTAAATTTTTTTAATGAATCCCCATAATATCAAATATCATCTTGTCATACTGCTGCTCTGCTGCTTCTGTTCATTGTTTTCACCATTCCTCCAAGCTCAGCTCATTTCTGTATTGTCTTTTTGGTGTCTTCGCTGCAGCAAGTCAGCACTGTCAGCAAACCAGGGAAGTCTCGGCTTACTGGGCTAATGTCTGGGTGTGCCAAGTGGTCTGGAATAATGTGAATAGTTTCCATGTCCAGTCTTTGGTTGCTCCTCTTAATACAATGTTTTAAATGTTGGTAGCTACTTTTCTCATCTCCCCTATTGAGCTGCATTTTTCCCATTTTTGGTCCTGCCTAAGCTGTCTGCAGCCATTCTCTGTAAAGGGCTTTTCTTTTTGAATCCCAGGGAGATCTGTGTTCTCTCTTCAGCTTCCCTGTCAACAGTCCCAAGTAACAGATTTGTTTTGGCCTAAGGTGTGTTAGAAGAGCTCACACGTCTTCCTCATCTATGGTCAGTTACATGTCCTTCACTCCTCCATACTTGGCTCTATGAGGATGGGAATTTTCATGTCCTTATTAAAAAAAAAAATTAAAAAAAAAAAAAAAGGAAAGAAAAAACTTATCTAAATACACAGAAAGTACAAGGAGGACAAAGGAGAATCTATGTCTGTCATTTTAATGGGAAAACAAAGTTGCTAATAGATAATGCAAAAATGATGAAAGATTGGAGTTGTTCTGACTGATTTTTAGGCTTCGTTTGTCACAGACTGGTTTTGAGATTGTGACAATTCATTCTTTCAGACTCCTAGTCCTTGATAAAACTAAGTTGATATGTTCCTCTGTAATTTTGTTTTAGGGCCATAGGAGCTTGATGCTTATCCTCAAGTAGATGGAGAACTACAGGGACATTAGTAATTTTTGTCAATATCTTTAGGGAACTAAAGGAAAAATATTAGCAGTTTTTACATTCTTCTTCTGACCTTTAGATTTACAAGTCATGTCCATGATTGCTATTCAGTTTACTTCCCTGGTTGTGGGAAGTGAGCAGTGTAAAGTAAGGAAGGGCAGATTTGAGGCACCTAATAGTAAGCAGATATACTGAAAATGTTACACTTCTGGTCTTTGAACAGTGTAATCTGACAGTGAAGGATTTCCCAGATATTGCATATCACTGTGCACAGATTAGTCCTGTTTCTTGGAGCTGAGGCTGTTGACTGAGGGGTTTAGGAATGGGAAGTGGAGGATTGTGCTGTACTGTTAAAACCACAGAATGGCTGAGGGAACCTCTGGAGATAGCTGGTCCAAACCCCCGGCTTCAGCAGGACCCAGGGCGAGTTGCCCAGGATCGCATCCAAATAGCTTTTGCTCCTGGGCAGCCTGTACTAGAGTTCAGTCACCCTCACAGTGAAAAGGCACTTCCTGATGTTCAGACGGAGCTTCCTGCAATGGATTTGACTTGTGGCCATTGAAGCAGTAGGGCAGAGGCAATGGCATTTAAAACAAAACAGAAAAGCAAACATGCTGTGGTTTTTTGCTGTCCTTTTTGTTTACTTACTCTCACATTTTGTTTATTATTTACTGTATAGTATTTTGCATTGCAGTGGTAATGTTTTTACAAACCATCTTTAAGAGGCATAAAAACTAATTAGTTAATGACATTTTACGTAAATAAAATGTGTAGTCCAATATTGTAGTTTTTTTCTGATTGTTGGAAAACCTTCTGGAATGGAGTGCAAAACACTCATCGAAATAAGCAGTAAGAACTGTTAGAAGTTAAGAGTTGTTACAGAACTATTTGATTTATCAGTGATTGTGTCTATCAACCAAAAAATATAAGAAAAAGCCAAAGAGAACTGAATTTGACACCAGTAAAATAGTTATTTTAAAAGTCCTAATTTCTAGGCAAGGGAAAGGAGACTGCGTAGAAAATGAGGGCAGAATTCTCAGTTTAGAGTGAGAATTAAGAAAAAAAAAATAAGGTCAAAGACAATAGCAACTGCAGATAGTCACATGACAACTCTTCCAGAGCCTTGTATGCCAGAGACCCTGCTCATGCTGCTGACTTATTACTGCAATTGCTCAAAGTG